GTGTGTGTGTTTCAGTGTGTAACCTCTGTGTGTGTTTCAGTGTGTAACCTCTCTGTGTGTGTTTCAGTGTGTAACCTCTGTGTGTGTTTCAGTGTGTAACCTGTGACGATGTGGAAGGCAGCAGCAGGACAGAACCTGAAGGTGTCTGTAGATGAGGGCGGGGACGACTGGGAGACAGACCCTGACTTTGAGGTACAGATTTCCACCCTGGAACATGAATGTTTTCAGACTCACAGTTGTTGTCAAACATTGTTGTGTGTTTTCAGACACAGTTGTTGTCAAACATTGTTGTGTGTTTTCAGAACGATGTGTCAGAGAAGGAGCAGAGGTGGGGGGCCAAGACTGTGGCTGGTTCAGGACACCAGGAGCACATCAAGTGAGGCTTGTTAACTGTAGGACAGCTGATTGTTGTGGACACCTGTCCTAGCTCTATCCTAGCACTGTCCTAGCCATGTCCTAACTGTCCTAACTGTCCTAGCGCAGTCCTAACTCTGTCCTAACTCTGTCCTAGCTCTGTCCTAGCTCTGTCCTAGCGCTGTCCTAGCGCTGTCCTAATGCTGCCCTAACGCTGCCCTAGCACTGTCCTAGCACTGTCCTAGCACTGTCCTAGCACTGTCCTAGCACTGCCCTAGCGCTGCCCTAGCGCTGCCCTAGCGCTGTCCTAACTCTGTCCTAACTCTGTCCTAACTCTGTCCTAACTCTGTCCTAACTCTGTCCTAGCGCTGTCCTAGCTCTGTCCTAGCACTGCCCTAACTCTGCCCTAACTCTGTCCTAGCGCTGCCCTAACGCTGCCCTAGCGCTGTCCTAACGCTGCCCTAGCGCTGTCCTAGCGCTGTCCTAGCACTGTCCTAGCACTGTCCTAATGCTGCCCTAACGCTGCCCTAACGCTGCCCTAGCACTGTCCTAATGCTGCCCTAGCACTGTCCTAGCACTGCCCTAGCACTGCCCTAACGCTGCCCTAGCGCTGCCCTAGCGCTGTCCTAGCACTGTCCTAGCACTGTCCTAGCACTGCCCTAACTCTGCCCTAACTCTGTCCTAGCGCTGCCCTAACGCTGCCCTAGCACTGTCCTAGCGCTGCCCTAGCACTGTCCTAGCGCTGCCCTAGCACTGTCCTAGCGCTGTCCTAGCGCTGTACTAATGCTGTCCTAGCTCTGTCCTAACTCTATCCTAGCACTGTCCTAACTCTGTCCTAACTCTATCCTAGCACTGTCCTAACTCTGTCCTAACTCTATCCTAGCACTGTCCTAACTCTGTCCTAATGCTGTCCTAGCGCTGTCCTAGCCATGTCCTAACTCTGTCCTAACTCTGTCCTAGCGCTGTCCTAACTCTGCCCTAACACTGCCCTAACGCTGCCATAACGCTGCCCTAACTCTGTCCTAACGCTGTCCTAATGCTGTCCTAACGCTGTCCTAATGCTGTCCTAACGCTGTCCTAACGCTGCCCTAACTCTGCCCTAACTCTGTCCTAACTCTGTCCTAACTCTGTCCTAACTCTGTCCTAACTCTGTCCTAACGCTGCCCTAACGCTGTCCTAACGCTGTCCTAACGCTGCCCTAACTCTGCCCTAACTCTGCCCTAACTCTGCCCTAACTCTGCCCTAACTCTGTCCTAACTCTGCCCTAACTCTGCCCTAACGCTGTCCTAGCGCTGCCCTAACTCTGTCCTAACTCTGTCCATCTGTCTGTGCTGCAGCATCCACCAGCTGAGGGACACTGTGTCCACAGAGCACACGTCCCTGAAGCAGCAGGAGCTGGACAACATGCCCAAAGCCTCTCATGGATATGGAGGGAAGTTTGGAGTGCAGCAGGACCGCATGGACAAGGTGGGACCACACACCCATAAATATTCAGTCAAATAAATGATCAAACATCAGGTAAAGTTCTTTTTTTAGTTTAACCGGTGCATTTTAAGCACATTTATTTATTGGTCCTTTTCTATATTTCTGTTGRTATTTCTAATGATGTCAGTTTCAGTCCTCCATACATCTGTCATTATAACATGTTTCTGCATGAGAAATAGACTCAGACATAAATAATAAAGTTGTTTTTAGAAACTATTTTAAGCACATATACTGGTACAGTATATGTTGATACAAAGTTTCTGTAATTTGCGTTTGTAAAATAAGTTGTGAACTGAGCTGAAGCAGAGTTTGTGTAAACAACACAACAGTTTATTGTGTAGTTAATTGATTTATTGTTGATCGGGACAGGTCTAATTATTCCTCAACAGGAAACTCTGATTTTATTTGTTCATTTCTGCCATGCTGATGGTTCAGAAGTGACAGAAACCTGTGTGTGTGTGTGTGTGTGTGTGTGTGTGTGTGTGTGTGTGTGTGTGTGGTCACTGCAGCAGCATGTGATGAGTGAGGACTGTTGACATTAAACTCAGCTGTGATAACTTCACCTGCTCTCTGCTCTCATCAGGTTTAACTCTTTTTAATGAAGCGTCTGTTTTCTGACGTTTGATGACCTCTACACTTGTCTGTGTGTCTCTGTGTGTGTCTGTGTGTCTGTGTGTGCCTTTGTGTGTCTCTGTGTGTCTCTGTGTGTCTCTGTGTGTGTCTGTGTGTCTCTGTGTGTCTCTGTGTGTGTCTGTGTCAGTCTGCTGTGGGCCATGACTACCAGAGCAAGCTGTCCAAGCACTGCTCACAGACGGACACCACCAAGGGCTTTGGAGGGAAGTTTGGTGTTCAGGCTGACCGTGTTGACAAGGTACCCCTGACCCTGAACCACCGTACGGTTTTTATTATCTGCTGGTTAACACGTGCAGACATACACAATAAATACACAACTCCTGGTGATAACTGCACTGACACCATCAGCTTTAAAATATGTCAGTGTCAACAGTTATATAACATTTATTGTTATTGAACATGTTTTTAATGTTTTAAATGTTTGAGTTTCAACAAATAAAGGCTGCAGTTAATCTTTTTAAATTAAAAATAATGTTTCAAAAAGTCCATCTTGTGTTGTGGAGCCAGTGTCTGATAAAAACACTTGAGCTTTATAAACACAGCAGCACTGACCTGCTCAGTCCTGTTTGATGGTTTGATTGTGTCACAACACCTCCTGCAGGTCTCCTCATGTGTAGACAACAACCTGAGTCTGCCTGTGGGGGCTGGAAACTATTACATGTGTTACAGCTGTGTCAGTGTCATGATGAAACTATTTATTTATTTATTTATTTTTTTATTTATTTATTTATTTATTTATTTATGTTTAATTCTGCTGTAAGAGTTTGTTCATGAAATAATTGAGTTGATTTAAAGTAAATCTTGCTCAGTTGTTGCTGCTGGGAGTTGATGTGACTCTGATTGTTTGTGTTTCAGTCAGCTGTTGGCTTCGAGTACGCTGGGAAGACAGAGAAACACGCCTCCCAGAAAGGTATGTTTACTGTGTTCAGACTGTAGTCAGACTGTGGTCAGACTGTGGTCAGACTGTGGTCAGACTGTAGTCAGACTGTGGTCAGACTGTGGTCAGACTGTGGTCAGACTGTGGTCAGACTGTGGTCAGACTGTGGTCAGACTGTGGTCAG